AATATACAAGCACATAAAATTAAAAATGTTACACATCGTGATACTAAGTGATCACCAGGAATTATAAAGTCAAAAAGTCTATCGGAATTTTTTTCCCTCGTGAAGAAACTGTCATCGGTAATTTAGAAGACAAAATTAAATGGATAAACCAGCTCAACGTATTATCGCTCAGACTTTCCAATATTTCGCGCCGTGTCGCGTACGTACTTCAGACACTCTGAGAGCTCCAGGTAAAAACGGACATATTCCGGCGCATTATACCGGTATTTGTAACCGAGTGTGCCGCGGCGACCGTGCATGTAATGTATACATTACCTGAAGCCGATTCCGCTGGTGGCGCATGTACGCGTACCCTGTCGCGACGCTCGTACACGGGCGGAACGCACGGTCACAGCCCCGTGTGTCAACGTGTGCGTACGTACGTGTGTACACGTCGCGACTCACACACGGCGGGCCGCGCGCGTTATGTTGCGCCCGGGGGCACGATAATTCAGCAGAAAAACCGCGAAACATTTGTCCGGCCGCCATTAATTCCGAAACTGCCCCGACGTTTCTGGCGAATCTGCATAAAACCGTAACGTACCACTCGATAATTCGACCGATACGCCCGTGTGTGCCGCCCTTCACCCCCGTCTCGCACCCCCCCCACCCCCCATCCCCCGCATCCCAGTTCACCGCTCTTCCACCCTTTCCCGATCCTCCTCTTTCCCTCTTTCTCTGTCTATATGCCGCCAGGTGGTTCGGATCGTGTTTTATCTGCCGTTTTTTCCGCGCTCTGCACTTTCCGCAATTCCCTACAAATCCGCTCGATGTCACCGGCATGCGAGAGAGGAAGCGGACTCTTTGCGATCGTGTTACACGATACGGCGCAGCCAATAGCACTCTCGCCTGCTTCCGGCCAAACTATAATACACTCTATCTGCACACGATCAACTTTCATTTCTCTCTCCCTTCCTCCCTCTTCCCCTTTCCATTTCTTTTATTTTTACGAATGCCGCAGAACGCTTTTTTCCCCGTTTCGAATGTTTCGATTTAATCTACCGCGAGGTGGTTTCGTCCACTTGCGAATACTTATAACGAGTGGATATCCTTACGTTAGAAAATGCACGTCAGCAATCCTCGTTTTCGCACCTTTCGGAAAAGGTTCAACGTGGATCAAATGAAACTCTGCTGCAGCATCGAGATCCCCAGAGATATCGGATACTACGTAAACAGAGACTCTTGTGTGCCTAAATCCAGCGAACATTTCCACGACTGCCTTGTGTGGTCGTTACTATTTAAGCTTTTATCGCCACACAAGTTGACATGCGAGAAAACACGATCGTGAGTTTATAAAATTTAAAATTTAGTTTAAAGGACCATTGCGGTCGGGGACCGAAAACATTTCGCCGACTACGCTGATCGCCGTTTCATGACATTTGTAATTAATTTTTCCTGAGGCATCAGGAAAATCGCGAATGTGCGAGAGCGATATTTGTCAGTGGCCGACAAAAGGAAAATACTGCAGAATTGCCGTGCATTCGTTTATTTTAACGCCCGTTGCTTTCTAATTAAACCAACCATTAACAACGAGAAATTGCAAGCGAGCGTTTCTTTTTCGAGGCCACGTGCATGGCCAGAAGTTGGCCGCCGGCAGAAAAAAATGAGAGATTGACTAATTAATTCCGATTGCATTAATTGAAGGGTCTTGCGCGGAAATCGTTTCGGTTTTTAGCGAACTTTAGAAAATTAAATAAAAGAATTTCTGAAAGAACGATATACTTCAAATTTTACAAAGTAAAATTAGAACATAAAGTTTTTATTTTAAAGAATATTTAAAAAATTATATTTTTATTTATTAAATTGCATAAAAGTGCGAGAGCGATATTCGCAAATATATCCTATACGTATCTAAAAAAATGCCTAAATATTTCTTTCTCAAATCCCTAATTCTTTCGTGATTCAGAATTATTAAAAAAAAAATTAAGATATCTTTTTATTATTATTTTAAAGAAAAAGATACGCACACACGTACACATCTAATACACAATACACATGAAACTCATTAGCTGGACCAAGCTCATAGTACCTGACACTTACACGTGCTTCTTGCAGAACGTAATTTTGCGGGGTCATTGAAGATTGGTAATCCCGCAAATAATAATTATAGTAGAGACACAAAGTGGTTCTCGAGAACCTTACGGTGCACCTCTTGCGATCCAATCCCACGTCATCCCCTTAAAATCCCTTTGTCGACCCCGATAATCCCACGTCGGACGTGGTTGAGGCGGCATCTCTCTCATACTCGTGGCTTTCTCTTTTTCCAAAATTCTATTACCACCTTCGTGTCCGCGCGTAGATTTTATAATCTCTTTTCACATCGTGCTAGAAAAGAGAGGGAAAGAGAGAGAAAGCTGTCGTTGACTTTCTGGATTACAGAGAGTAATATCCAGAAGAAACATCTTCTATACGAGACATATTTTGCTGCAAGCTATTTCGATTATTTACGTCGTGACCTTTTTCATTTCTTAAACAAATAAGAATCTCTCCGGTCTTCTAAAACAAAATTCAGTGTAAAATATTGTATAAAACTAATATTTAATATTTCTTTTGTTTAATGTAAATGCATAACAAAGTAAAAGAGAATATTACAGCCTCTTTTTATATAAAGTATAAAAATAATAAAAGGAAAAATCTTAAAAGAGAAAAAAATTAAAATATGTTCCATTATCGCTTTAAGCGGATTATAAGGAAATTACTAAAAGAAAAAAAAGGGAAAAAAATAGATATATAATGTTTCTTTTCTGAAATATTTCATTCAATTGTCGCCAAAGTAACACGTGCAAAATTTGATGGCTTTTTTATCATTAACGTAATCTCGGCAATGCATAAATCTACTTTTATTTTCATCATTTTTCACCGGTAATAAGATACATACGTGTCGTTTTCGTGTGTCAATTAATAAATTATTATTCACTCAAATCACGTTAGATGGCAAATATGCCAGTCATTAATCAACGTAAGCCGACGATTGTCTCGATCGCGTGCGATTTCGCACGCATAACCGTGAATAACAATATATGGACAACGATCGGTCAGTAGCGACGTTAATTTGCGGTAGCCGTATATATTATATTTTCTCCTGCCATTCTTCTCTCGTCCACACAGCCGTTCGCTGACGTAGATTGAAAAAGCAGCCCCATTATAAATAATTTAAATGCATTGCTAGGGAGCAAAAAGCGGATGGCAACTCGACGACGGCGACGGCGATGTCGCCGGCAAAATTGATACGACGCGCGCTCGACTTTTCTGGCGGCGCGAACGCCGGTCGCCATAGTCAATACATTCCCGGCCGCTCGTGTGTGCGCAGATTTCATATATATTTATTTATTTATTTGCGAGCTCTCCCGCTTCTCTCCGTCAGTCTCCCGTTCCTTCGCTTCGCCATGTAAATCCGTCCCGGAGACGAAAGCATCCGCGCGAGTTTCGATTTCTCTTATCGCTGGATTATCGCGTCAACGTAAAATCGCTAAAAATATATTTTGCATTTTTCCTTTTTTTATCTTCTATAAGTTGTCATGGGCTTGCAGGAAACTATGGTGACGAGTGAAAGATGACGAAGGTTCACCGCTCTACGGGACTTTTTACGAGACAGACGTGTCGCGATTTCACGAGAACCGTCGCAAAAGAAATTTACCGCTCTATCAGAGGGACACGCAATATGGAAACGAAGAACGAATGGAACGAAGAACAGGGCGATGAGACGCGACGAGGGAGGAGGACGCGAGGAAGGAAACGGAGAGAATGGTGACGGTACGAGAGTAATGTACGAGTACACGTATCGTCGATCTGGTGCATGAAAAGAAATCCCCCTTTTCGCAATTCCACCGGGCTTCCTCCAGCAGAATCCTAATCTCCCGGCGCGCGCGGTGCGGATGTAATGGACGTTCGCTCCCCGCTCCTCCCTGGAGGTTCCCTATCGGCTCCATCCTTGTAGACCATCCTCTTTTCTTCCTTCGGTACCACGACGAAGGCAGTCGAATAGGACGATATAGACGACCTCGCCATTGGGATCTCCGGGATTACTATCCCGAAGCCTAATCAGCCAGATTGCCTGCAATTTGCCGTCCTTATCTCGACGGTATCCTCCGTGAGCCCTTCGGTCTCTCTCTTTTCTCCAGATGGACTCTTTCCATCTCTTACCGCCTTGCATGAAAGACCAACCTCTCGTCACCAATGAAGGGCCGCTTCGCGGAAGAATACTTCTTCCTCCGCCGGATCTCAACTTACGAAGCACACGAGCACGGAAATCTTTGGCGAATTACATGGGATTTAGGCGAATCGGTAGTTCCCCGAGGCGAGGTCGAAAGAAGATGAGTCAGTTGCCATACGGTGTCGGAAATTGCTCCAAGTTTGGGATGATAAAAAGTTAGGGAGTACGCGAATGTGGGGCAGTTCCTTGCGCAAGCAGGCAGACTAAGTGCAACAGTTTCGAATTCTCTTGATATCGACCGTACTTAATGTAACGTACGGATGTAATATACCTATCCCGGTATTAGAAACATTAATTGCTGATGTAATTGCAACTAAAGCTACAGATACCATATACTCGTGTATACATACAGGAATTGTCTTACAATTAGAATTATCAAAATTAAATTATATCAGCGATATTTTTCGTTATTAATTTATTAATTACAAATCGCAAATAAGAACTCGCGAATATGTAACAAATTTCGTAGTTTACGCGTTGAACGTAATGAGAGAACTGAATGGAATCTACGACCAAGTTACAAGTTAATCTGTATTATTTGCAAATAGCAATTTCAACCCGTAGATTGTCAATAACATGATGAACCTCACGAAAATTCGAAAACGTAGAACAGAAAGCCGTTAATGTCGATTACGGCACAGGCAGTTGCGCGGAAACTCTAGCGTACTCTCGTCAACACGACGAACAATTGGTAATCGAGAACTGGCGCATGCGATAATAACTGTATATTGTTAGATGTAACACTCACCCGCGTTATTATTGGCGAAATTTTGATCCTTACCTGAAACAAAGAACATAAATGTTATTTTCGTATTGACAACCAGCGCGACATTACTTAACATGGATATGTATCGATTTCGGAATAAGCAAACTATGTGTCAGAAACGTTTCTAAATTAGAATAATAAATTAAAATGTCAAAAACACACAAATAAATCAAAACAAAATTTCCGAGAATATGTAAATTGATTCTGTATCTCGCAATTCTCTTCTCATATTATACATTCTGCAAGTAATTTTTATTTATTATTATATTATTAATGCAAGTAATTCTTTACTAACTAATAATGTAGTTTAATATTCGATATTAATTAAAATTTAAAATGAATTTTATGAGAACACTAAAATATTCAAATAAATAATCAATTTATTAAATTGAAGTAAGTTTCAAATAATAGAATAAGTGGCATTATTCGAAAGATCGGATCTTTGCATTTAATAATTCTTCTTTTTAAAAAATTTATATTTTTATAAATTCAGAACACTTGCTTATATCATAAACTACATGTATTATTAATAGATTTTCAAAGTAGATCAAAACTATATTAATAAATTAATAATCAAATCTGAAAATCGATCACATCCCTTTTTCTCACTCAAACAAAATTCTGAAATTATTCTACTTCGTATTATTTTATTATTTAAAATGTTCAAATTTAAAATTTATATCAAATTACTTTACAATTTAAACTTGAGAATAATAACAAATATAACAAATATAAAATTGTTTGATATCCAAAAATATCGTAACTTACAATTAGAAATGAACGTTGTTATTATTGAGATTGAAATCAATATGATAGCGTATCCCGCGAATAGTCTCGTTTATTTTTCATCGGAAGAAGCTCATCGAATGAAGCTCGATTTAATGCGACAATCCGATTTATACTTCGAAATTAAACGCAGCTTCAGCGACCGAGATGTTCGAATTTAGTTAGATACGCAAGCCTCCGCGTTGCGCACATATTATTTCGCATAAACTAACCGTGTGTAATCCACGCGCGAGAGTAATCTACCTAAATACACGCGTACTGCAAATATACAAAGTGTTTGCAGTTGCATATGATCCTCTGGAAAGGTGGGATCAAAGGTAGTATAAATAAGACATTGGAAATAAGAAGACGAAGAACGAAGAAACTTACGTGCGTGTCTCTCTCTGCATAGAGATACGCACGAATCTTTTGATTTGCAATTTGCAAAATGTAAAATATATATAATTGATTTGAAAGAGAATTAGAAAAAAAAAAAAAATAAATGGCGAATAAGGAATGAATAAAGCACTTCGATCTTGTTTATTTACTGAAAGATTCAATTAATATTATGACATAATTTATGTTATAAATACATCGAGGCTTTAAATGCCGGGCTGTAACTTGAAACTTTTAACAAATTTGCGTATATTGCTGTTATAAATATTCCTATATAGAAACGAAATGTGACGTAGACATTGGAAGCACAACGAATTAAAATACGATTGGCATAATGCATGTGACTGGTCGTAAAACTCCGAAAGAGGCAACTCGATGCGATATTTACATGGTAATGGATCTTGGGAATTCGCGACGTTTTTCCTTCTCACGATAAGGGATGTACCGTCGTCTGCAGCAGCAGCCTCGTAAGGTCTAAGATTCGTAGATCTTCGCAGTGATACTCAACTTCCGTCTGTACGGCCTCTCGAGTCGGTGAAACGCATCGGAAGTCGTTTCTAAGCTCCGTGATCACGAAATATATATTAAATCCGGTTGTTTTATTCATGTGAGGAAGAGCGGAATTCTCACGATAGCGGACTGTTTGATAGTGACTCCCTTTATGGACGCTTTCGAAGGAAAAATACCGCCGAGCGGTAGGATCAGCATCGGGAGAGAAGATTCAGAGGATGGGAAAGGAAAAATTCGCTAAACAATGACGACGAGAGATAGGTATCTCGAATGTGGCCGCTGTTTCGAGGAAGTATCGCCGTCGCGAAGATTCTTTTCTCGCACGCGAAATCGCGGGTCATCGGTGGAATAGCTACTGTTTACTGTTCACTCGCATTGCCTGCCGAGAGAAATAGCGAACGAGGGAAGAGAAATTACATTTCTCTCTACGATGTTACTTCGTTCCAAAGAGCGTACAAAAATAGATTGTAGCGAATGCACACACTTCGAAAAAGATACACTGAATCGCGTACATTTGGTCTCGCTCCTCTCTCGTAAGAATCGTAATAATAAAAGAATTATATCTTACAAATAAGTATAAGTAATAATCGATTTTTCTCTTAGAGATTATTCCTTCTTTTCTCTCTTCTCTCGAGTTCAAGCGTGTTTACGTATGCGCGTGCATGTATATGTATATGTTACAGTCGTTTAGAATCGCTTCACATATTTCGTTCACGCCTCTTGACAAATTTACGGTTGTCATCAAGATAGATCAATCTCGATCCGTGTGTCGATCCACCTTTATCAAGAATGGAAGTGTAATGCGGGGCAACCACTTGGGCGTGATCGATAGCGCCGGGGAGAAAAATAAAAGGCGGTCGCCGCTTCTCTGTCTCCGATCGAAACGATCCTCGGAGGACACCGACAAAGAGCGCCTCGGCCATCACGAAGATTACCGCGACGATCCGCACCGGAACGGTAGCAGCCGGGACTGATTTATTTGTTGTCTAACGTCCCGACGAGTCCTTCTACATTATTTACCTCCCCGCCGGGTCGGCGAACGCGCGCAGGACACAAAAGGGTGGATTCCACATTCGATCGTGGGATCAATGGATCTCGCTTGTCGGCGAGAGATTTACTGCGTCAGCGGCCCTTCCATCGCGACGTTGGGGTCACTATGAAGACACCTTTATCCACGTGACGATCCACCCATCAACTTCCTCTTTGTTACCCAGATCAAGAATCGTATACGAAACAGACAGGAAAAAATGCAAATTGAGGGAGGAAATACAGCGATGTCTTGTGGTCTGAAGGGGAAAAATCGCGTTAAACGCCACCGACATTTTTCATGCGGACAAGTCCGGCGAGGGTGAAACAAAAATATTATCTGCTATTCAAATAAAAGACCACAAGCTGAAAAAGAAAGATAAGACTTGTGTTAATCTTTATATAAGACTTCGCGAAATTGTATCAGGTGCCTCTCTTTACATATAATAAAAATAATGTGGGAAGGTACGTATTATATATCACTTGTTTCATTAATATAAATCCTGCATTTCTTAAAAAATCATTTTAATATGTTAAAAAAAAAATTCGAAAATGCGTAAAAAACATACAAACGAATGGAAATATATGTGACAAAAAAACGGAGTAAAAGAATTAGGTAGAGAGATGGTGGTTGAAGGAAAGAGGGCGTAAACAGTACTTTGTATCGACGCGTTCCGTACTTTTCTTTTCACCCCTGTAACCCTCTCGACGAGCTTAAGTCCACTCTCCGACTTCTCTCTCTCCGACGGCTCTCGTTTTTTTCTCTTTATCTCGGCCGCTTTCGATCAGCTTGAATCTGCCACTTAGCGCGATCGTCCCTCCAACAGCGGGACGCCAACCCTTCGAAAACGAATGGATGGATTCCCCGTTGAAGCAGTAAGTAAGTAAAAGCAAGCCGGATTTTAGCGGCAAAAGAAATCGGGGAACTGCCAAGAGAGGTGGAACGGGGTGAACTCAACTAACGGCGACAATACGAAAAAGAGCCAATTTCAAAAGTGGTTGCTGCTGAAGGCAGAGGCGAAAAACCTAACGAGAATTACACTCGTGCGTGGCATTGTAGGGCCGTGCTTGCGATAAAACAACGGAGAAAACGAGGAAGCGACTTTCTAAAAGGAATAATTTTAAAAGGAGTAAATTTAAATTACAACACCCAATTATCTTAAATTAACGAAGCACTATCGACTCTGCGCGCTTTGTAGACTATCTTTTATATTGCGATGTGAAATTAATGTAAAGAAGAACGAGACAAACGATGTTCTTTAGCGTAAATTGAGAAACTACGCTGCTGACTGAATTCATTTCCGGGAAAAACAGTGTATTAATAATAATAATAATAATAATAATAATAATAATAATAATAATAATATATTTACGTCATTGTATGCTTCTCTGGGCATCTCGGATAATATCTACTTTTCCCAAACTCGCTGCATCCTTGACGTAACTTTTCTGCAAGTTCGTCCAGCGTTATGACGACGAAACAAAGGAAAACGGCAGTTACTTTGCTACTATGGGAAATATATTTATCAGGTTTGTGCTCTCAGATTCTCACTCAGCATCCGGTGTCTGGTTCGCCCGCGATCAAATCCGTGCGCTTCCGCAACGCGCGTGAATGTACTATGCATAAAGGAATTGCCCTAATATTGACCATGGCAGCGCCATGAAAAATTGAACGTCTTCGACGTCCATTGTTTTCAGGATTGAAAGAACCTTGGATTTTACTTCTCCCCGGCAATCGAATTTTAATCTCTCTACAGAAACGGAGAAGGCACACAGTCCGCAGAGACAGAGAATACAAAATCACATCCAAGATATCTCTCTCGGATTTTCCATGTTTAATGCATTTCTCTGCTGATAGTTTATATACTTCGACAAAACAAGTATCTCGCAAAAGCTGTTTATCATTTCATAGTACGTAATATGGCATATGAACGTTTGAAAGACATACAAGGAAATATCTTTTTTTTAAAGAATAAATTTTTATTCTATTTTAAATTCTCATTTTCTTATAGTTATGTGCTGTGTGTATGTTTTACACACGTTTCAATTTCTTATTTGCGATTTGGTTCCCTATTAAAAGAATTTACATTTATATATTTATATATAATTTAAAATTTTTCGACTCTTTTCTCGATCCTTTATTTTAAATCTTGAAAAAATGTTATTAAAATATTTTGTTAACATTTATCATAAACTTGATAGGATTATAAACACATTCACTGAAGAAATTACATAGATTCAAGTAGAGACTATTTAATATTATTAAGAATAAAAAAATATATAATATGATCATAATAAAAAGTAAAATTAAAAAAATT